GGTCTGGCACTGCTGCTCTTTGGGCCTGGCATCCCTGAGCTCCTGGTCATCCCTGGTCAGGGCAAGAAGGGCGGTTCTGGATCGCTCAAACAGCTCGAGTCTCGGTGATCGAGTCATCCCGCAGAAGCCAAGCAAGTGAAGCAGGAAAGTGGATGAATTGGTGATTTCAAGTACACAATTCCCATAGGACTAACATGGGCATGCTACGCACTTGCAAAGTTCAAGAGACCCACCTTTCCCAGCAGAGTAGAGTCCGGAAGCCGCAAGAATGACTTTGCGTGGGGAATAATGGAAAACCTCTACTGTTTGGCTGTGCTATAACTTTAGTTTGAGGGCATAGAGTCTTAGAGCTCTCCCATATCAAAAATGCTCTCTTATGGTGCTAGTTGTTTTGGGGGGGTAGTCTTTTGGGTGTACAAAGAGCTTGTGGGGAGCTTGCGCAGACAAGATATTTGAGTAGACCAACGAGACGATCGCAGCTGTCTCTGGAAAGAAAGTAGCTGGGCACCAAAGGCTTTGCGCCTCATGTTTAAGCTTACTTAGTGCAGATTCATAGTTTTTGCTTCACACTAGCCGCAGGCAGTGCATTACGGTTGCGGACTGGAAACCTAGCTAGGCTAGACTTTGCCATGTTTGTGCACAGTACAGGGTCATAGAGTCATAAAGCTGCTCTTTTTCAGCCGACCGGGTCTGCAAGAGCTCCCACCATTCACGATGCTGGAAGATTCCAAGGCAGGCAAAAGCGACTGCCGCTACATCACCCACTAGCAGCACACCAACAGGTGCACTGTTTTGGTCGTTCATCCAGAGTTTCTTAACATCAAACAAGCATCCGAAAGATGCCTCAGATGCCGAGAGAAGTACCAGTCCCAAAAACATCGTAGCATCATCGTATACATCACTTGCAGATACTTGCAGTCCACGCCCCTGGCACTCCGAACCACAAAAATCTTCATTGCAACCAATGGACATTCAACCGACTTCTCAGCTGGCCACCCTATCTTAAATGTGTAAGACAGTATTTTTGTTGTTTGGCGCCTCTTCATGGTGTTTGGGGTGCAGTACGTATATACTATGTTGGGGACGCGTTTGCCTCTTTCCTCCCGTGGCACTCGTCGCAACGAGAAGATTCACGAGGCCCGCCAGGCTTCTTGAGTTTCGTGATGGTCCTGACTCCCGAGGCGGGACCGTCTCCAGAGCGAAACACGCTGCCTTTTTCCACCGTCTCCCGAGGCGTCCTCCGAAATGTGTTTTTTCTCTCCGAGCCAAGCCTCCAAACTTTGGTTCATAGTTTAAAGTTGGAGTGGTTTGGAGATGTGATTCTTTTGAGAGGAGTACATGGAGACTGGAGACTGGAGACCAACGACTGACGTAGACCCCAAAAAGACTGACTGCAAATAAACGAGGAAACTCATGGTTAAACTCAGTTGCTCGCTTAAACTCATGGTCGGAGGCAATGCAATGCAACACTTTCTTGCGCATTTGAAAGGCCACACCATTGATAGGCCGCACATGATGCAGCAACGCTTCAAGCCTGTCTAGTGAATATTGCGAATCGTCCTTCAATGCCTTTTGCCGCGTCACTGGAATCCTCCTGGGTGCCGTGTCAACACCATGCAACACCCACACCCCGAAGGCATGTTACATGGAACATCCCGGAGTGCAGGCTGCCGCGGGAAGCTTCGCAGTTCCACTGACCGAAGCCCGCACCGGACACGAACCGCACACAGAAGCGGCGCACCGGACAGGAACACAAGGAGTACCTGCGGAGAAGAAGACAGTTCAGAGGCGCCGTGTTTCAGGGATTTTCTAGTAGGTTTCCATCGCCATTAGGTTGGAGGCCATTCCTATTGGGTTGGAGCGCGGTTTGCCGCATGATGCCAGCGAATTACGCCACCGAATGAGGGAGCTACCTTCGATAGGACCACGAAGTGATCCTCAAGTTGAGAACCAGTATACCGTACCTATCATTACCTACTATAATAAAGAATGTCTAAAACAAGAATTCATGTTGG